TGCAGGGGCTTTTCCAGCTGAGCTCGGGAAGAGTTTGGGAGAATTTGGGACACTGGGATGTTCCCCAAGCTGTGGGGTGGGAAACTTGGGAAAAGGGGAGGGAACTGGGATTGGAGACCTGGCCTGGAATGGGCAGGGAATGACCACGGAATGGGTAGGGAATGGTCAGGGAATGACCTCAGTATGGGCAGAGAATCCCACCCTGGGACCAACTGACCATTCCCTGCCCATCCATGGATCATTCCCTGGCCATTCCCTGAACGGAAGCCTGGAAAAAGCCTCGGATTTGGGATTTCAGGGCATTCTCCCCTGCTTTCCCCTTCCAGGCCCATGTCCATCCCCTCCACTGTGGCTCCATGGCCACAAGGGAAAGCTCAGGAGAGGGAAAGGGGTTGGATCTTCCCAAGATTTCATTGGGAAGCTCTGTTCTCCCTGGCTGCTGCACGCGTTGCTCGTATCCAGCTGGGATGGATTCTTTTCCCTTTAGTGGGAATGTTCTGGAAGAGGCTGGAGTGTCACAGACCTCGGGGTGGCCCCAATCCCTTTTCCCTGCCCTGAGAATGGCCCCAATCCCTTCTGCTCCTCATTCCCTGGGAATGGCCCCAATCCCTTCTGCCCCTCATATCCTGGGAATGGTCCCAGTCCCTTCTCCTGCCCCTCATTCCCAATGAGCAGTGAGGATCTGACCTTTGGTGCTCTCATTCCCTGTGTTTTATCCCCAATTTTTGTGCCACAAATCCCAGGATTTCTCAGTTTTTTGATGCCCTGTCCAACCTGGCCTTGGACACTCCCAGGGATCCAGGGGCAGCCACAGCTCCTCTGGGAATTCCATCCCAGCCCCTCAGGGAGGAATTTCTTCCTAAAAAATCCTGGCTAGAGCATGGATCCCCCCAGGATTCCTTAAATCCTCCTGTAACCCCTTGGTTGCTCCACTGAGTAATTAATTTCTAATTAAGCCCATCCTTATGCAAGCAGTTCCCTCTCTCCCCTTTTCCCTTCCTTCCCTCTGGAATTCCTGATGCCCAGGAGGTTCCTCAGCCCTGGAACACCAAATCCAATTGAATTCCTTATTTCCCACCCCAAAATTCCCACCCAGCCTGGGTTGGTTCCCAATCTGCTGGCAGCTCCTGCTCAGAGCTCAGTAATTACCAGGGTAATTAATGCTAATTACTGCTGGGAACAAGCTGGAATTCTCCACCCTCCAGGAACCCCAAATCTGCTGGAATATGCCCCAAAAATGAAACTGGGCATTCCTGAAAAAGGTGAATTCACTTCCATCCAGATGTCCTGAATCCAAATCGTTCCTCCCTGAGCTCCGATTTTTGAGGAAGCATCCCAGAGCCCCCGGGTGCCATGGAAACTGCGGGATCCGCCCTGGGAGCCGCCTTGAGTTCCCGGGGTTTTTTATTTTCTGGGATATTTTGGACTCTGCATTAAGCAAACATTTATGCAAAACGCGGGAATGCATCCATGGGAATGAGGCTGAAGCAGAGAGGGAATTCAGCGGGATGGGCTCGCTCAGAGCTGCAGATCCCGCTCGGAAAGCACCAAAAATGACAAAGTTTGGGGTTTTTTTTGTGGTCACCCCTGATTTTGGGGTGTTTCCTGGGAATTGGAGACAGAGGAATGACCCAAAGCCCTGGGAATGTGGAATTCCCTTTCTGTGTGTGGCTGAGGGGGATTTTTGCACCTCATTTTATGGGGTGGGGATGAAATTCCCCATGAGGGACAGCCCTGTTAAAGGGACGGGATGATCCCCATGGATGTGTCGGGATCTGCATCCTGCTGGGAAGGGATGATCCCAATGAAGGAAACGGCTCCGTTGGGATGGATGATCCCCATGGACGTGTTGGGATCTGAATCCTGCTGGGAAGGGATGATCCCAATGAAGGAAACGGCTCCGTTGGGATCTGAATCCTGCTGGGAAGGGATGATCCCCATGAAGGAAACGGCTCCGTTGGGATCTGAATCCTGCTGGGAAGGGATGATCCCAATGAAGGAAACGGCTCCGTTGGGATCTGAATCCTGCTGGGAAGGGATGATCCCAATGAAGGAAACGGCGGGATCCAGCCTGGTGTTCACGGGAAGCTCGGCCAGGAACATGTGGATGTTTATCCCTTCCCTCCTTTTTTCTGGATAAAATCACTGATGGAAAACCAACAGCCGGAGTTTACTGGGCTTGTGGGATTGAGCTGAGCCTGGGAACGCCGCTTTAATTAAAATCCAGAATTCCAGCCAGCCAGAACCGCCGGCGGGGGCGGGATGCTCCCGCAATTCCCACCTGGAATGTCCCGCTTGGAAAAACACGGATTGCGTGTTCCTGCCGGAGCAGCGGGATTGGGGAAGCCCAGCCCGGGAAGGGGAGCTGGGATCCATCAGGGACGCTGGAAATGCTGGGAATCGCCTGGAGAACGGAGCGGCCCCGAGCCCTGCCTGCACTCCAGGAGGGATCGGAGCCTTTTCCGTGATTTGGGAATCAGTGCCGCACTCCCAGCCCTGAATTTGAGGAGGAATTTTGGGAATTGTCCCTTTTTCTGTTTCGGTGACATTTCAGGGCGAACCCCTCCCACTGAGAGTGCCCCAAACCCATCATCCATATTTTTTACGGAATTTTAGCTTTTCCACTCTTCCCGCTCCCACCCCTCCTCCCCTCGTTAAGGGATAACGAACCATTCTCCACATCAAAGGAATATTTATCCATCAAAATCCATGCTGGGACAATCCCGAGACACTTTGGGAAGGACGGTTGGGTTCCCTCTCTCTTGGGATGCTCCCATGGGAAGAACTTTCTGGAAAGCTCCTTCCAGCTGCCGCCATCCTGAATTCCCCAGGGGTGTCAGAGTCACAGGAATGGGATTTGGGATGGATATTCCACAGGGATGGGATTTGGGGTGCATATTCCAGCAGGAATGGGATTTGAGGCGGATATTTTGCAGGGATGGGATTTGGGGTGCATATTCCAAGGAAAAGGGGGTTTCCCATGCTAAACTTTGCATTATAATGATTGTGTCCGTTTTTCAGCTGGACACAGGATTTTGGGGCAGGGTTTGGGAGAGGAATAAATCCCAGAATCCCAGAATGGGGAAGGCTGGAAGGGCCCATGGTGGGTCCTAAAGGCTGAGAATTGGAATTTTTCCAGATTGTGGTGATTTTAATGGGAAATAAACCCCGGGAGCTCCCACACTGGGCTCTGTGATCTCACACCAGGGCTCCAGCAAGGACACGGAAATCCCAAAAAACCCAAATCCCATCATTCCCTGGGGGAACGCTCCATAAACAGCGGATCCTGCGCTTCCCTCCTGGAACGCTCGGCCATGAGGAGCCCTCGAGGGACAGAAAATAAAAACAACAATAAAGACAAGGATGGGCGGGGCGGGCCTTGTATCCACGGCAATCCCAGAAAAACGCTCCGAACAATGGGAATGGCTCCCGGATGGATCCTTGGCTGCGGCTTCCAAAGGCGCCGCTGGATCCTTGGCTGCGGCTTCCAAAGGCGCCGCGGTTTTTCTGCCAAACAGACCCAAACCAGGGCCAGGCCTGTTTGAATCCCAAAATCTGCACTGTGGCTCATGACTCCCTGTGGAGCTGGAAAAAGCCTTTTTGGGATTTTGGGATTCAAGATCCCCCTGGATATCCAGCAGGGAGAATGAAATTAAGGATGGGATGAGGGAGGTGTAGGATGGGGTCGTTTTCCATGGGGTGGGATGCACCGAGAGGTCCCTCCTGCCTCGGAGAGAGCACGGAAGCGCTGGAATTCCCAAAATCCATGCTGGGACAATCCCGAGACACTTTGGGAAGGACGGTTGGGTTCCCTCTCTCTTGGGATGCTCCCATGGGAAGAACTTTCTGGAAAGCTCCTTCCAGCTGCCGCCATCCTGAATTCCCCAGGGGTGTCAGAGTCACAGGAATGGGATTTGGGATGGATATTCCACAGGGATGGGATTTGGGGTGCATATTCCAGCAGGAATGGGATTTGAGGCGGATATTTTGCAGGGATGGGATTTGGGGTGCATATTCCAAGGAAAAGGGGGTTTCCCATGCTAAACTTTGCATTATAATGATTGTGTCCATTTTTCAGCTGGACACAGGATTTTGGGGCAGGGTTTGGGAGAGGAATAAATCCCAGAATCCCAGAATGGGGAAGGCTGGAAGGGCCCATGGTGGGTCCTAAAGGCTGAGAATTGGAATTTTTCCAGATTGTGGTGATTTTAATGGGAAATAAACCCCGGGAGCTCCCACACTGGGCTCTGTGATCTCACACCAGGGCTCCAGCAAGGACACGGAAATCCCAAAAAACCCAAATCCCGTCATTCCCTGGGGGAACGCTCCATAAACAGCGGATCCTGCACTTCCCTCCTGGAACGCTCGGCCATGAGGAGCCCTCGAGGGACAGAAAATAAAAACAACAATAAAGACAAGGATGGGCGGGGCGGGCCTTGTATCCACGGCAATCCCAGAAAAACGCTCCGAACAATGGGAATGGCTCCCGGATGGATCCTTGGCTGCGGCTTCCAAAGGCGCCGCTGGATCCTTGGCTGCGGCTTCCAAAGGCGCCGCGGTTTTTCTGCCAAACAGACCCAAACCAGGGCCAGGCCTGTTTGAATCCCAAAATCTGCACTGTGGCTCATGACTCCCTGTGGAGCTGGAAAAAGCCTTTTTGGGATTTTGGGATTCAAGATCCCCCTGGATATCCAGCAGGGAGAATGAAATTAAGGATGGGATGAGGGAGGTGTAGGATGGGGTCGTTTTCCATGGGGTGGGATGCACCGAGAGGTCCCTCCTGCCTCGGAGAGAGCACGGAAGCGCTGGAATTCCGGGGGAAAACCCGGCTCTGTCCCGTTCCTGTATCCCCTCCATCTCCAGCCAGGCAGTGCAAACACTCCTGGTGTCTGGCCCCACAATAGAACTCATCCCAAGGAAAGAGACGGGAGAACAGCACGGGAAACACCAGCATGGCACAAGCAGGGCGGTGACACCGAGGTGGCACGGAGGGGACATCCCTAGCTCAGGGTGTTGGAGTAGAAGCTGAAGCTCTCGGAGACCGTCTTGGAGTCGCTGCGGGAGGAGCCATTGGAGGTCATGTCCAGGGAGAGCCGCTTGGCCCGGCCGGGCTCGTCCAGCTCCTCGTCGGCCGCGCCGAGCACCGAGGCCACGGTGGTGGTGTCCATGCGGCTGAGCTTGGACACGGAGCTGTGTGTGTGCAGGAAGCGCGCCGAGCGCAGCTCCAGCCCCTCGTACTCGCCGGCGCTGACCCATGGGCACCACCGGAACACGTGCTTGAATCCCACTCGGAACCTGGCCACAGGACGGGACAGGCGTGGGATGGACACGGGCATGGACGGGGAGTGGGATGGACATGGCCAAAGACTGGATCCAGCCCCTCCCGGAATTCCTCACCTTCCTCTTGGCCGACACCTGCTCGTGGTAGCGGTCGGAGGAGTCTCCGGGGATGGCGCTGGCCCAGAGCGTGCGGCCGACGGCGGCGTAGGCGCAGCCGATCACCAGCAGCGGCAGCAGGTACAGCAGGACGGTCATGGAAAAGTGGTACCTGGAAAAAACCAGGATAATCCTGAGGATCCAGCAGGATGGACATGGAAAAGTGGTACCTGGAAAAAACCAGGATAATCCTGAGGATCCAGCATTGGGAACGTCGTGGAAGTTTTGGGAATGCCATGGAAGCACTGGGAATGCCATGAGAATTCTGGGAATGCTGTGGATCAGTGAGGACTTCTGTTAGAGAGGAGTTTGGTTTAAATGGAAATCCAATAATTTTGGGTTTAACCACAAGACGGGACGGAGGCTCCAACCCTGCGGAAAATCCTGGAAAATCATCTCTTCCCTAAAAACCGAGTCCACAAATGTGGCTGGTGTTGGCTTGGAAAACTTACCAAATCCTGCCTGGTTAGTGGGAATTTTATTCCCAAGGCTTTGGGGCCCTCTGGGTGGATTTTTGGGCTCCAAAAATTTTTTGGGCTCCCTGCTCCTCTATCTTTCCAAGGACTGGGACTCCATTCCAGGCCCTACTCCCGCTCCTCTTCCCGGGAGCTCGGGTTGAATCCCAGCTCCAGAGGGTGAGGAGCGGCCCCGGGAATTCTCCCGCAGGGAGCGGGGCTGGCCCCGGCCCCGCCACTGCTCGGTACCGCAATCTGATTTTCCCGGCCCTAATTCCATTTGGGATGGCCTTGGCGGGGCTGGGTTTTGTTTGCCTCATTCCAGAGGCGTCTCAGCGGCTCCGCAGGAGGATTTTGTTGCGGTTCCCATGGAATTCCGGATCCTCAGAGCGCTGCAGGAATGTCTGGAGGAGCTGCGGGATAACGTCAGCAGCGCAGAGCCCCGTTCCCAGAGGGGCCTGGGCTCCGAGAGCCTTTCCAGACAGCTCCAGGAATCCTTTTGGGATGCCAGGATGGAAAAGCACTGGGAATTGCTCTGCCTGCAGCATTCCCGGGATCGCAGCACTGCGGGAGATTTGGGGTTTGCAGCTGGAAGGGTTTTAGGATCTGGTGTGGGATGGAGGATCCTGTGGGGATCATGGGATCCCGGAGGATGGAGCTGCCACCTCCCTTTCCCTGGGAATCCCGGGAATGTTGGCATGGAAGGGACAGCCCTGAATTCCCAGGGGATCCAGGGTGGCTTCTCCCTTCCCTCAAAACCCCAGAGGGAATTCCTGAACCCTTTGGGAAGCAGGGATCAACGGCGGGATCGAATCCTGCAGAATTATCATTCCGGCCAAAACCAGGGATGTTTTCTAGGGGAAAATCAGCTCTGGTACCCTCTGCACACCAGGGTTGTGCTCCCCAGAGGTTTCCTGAAGGAATTCCCCCCAGAAGTGTTGGAATTCTCCTGTTTTCCCTGTTTTTCCTCCTGTTTTCCCTGGGAACTGGAAAAGGGACGGAATTTTTTCCTCCTGGCGCCACAAACGGAGCAGCTGCCACCGGAGCGTTCCCAGAATATCCGCTCCGAGGCCGTGGAGCGGGGAAGGGCTGGAATGTCACCTCTGGAATGACCCAACCACCTGTCCCGAGTTATTTAGGGCAGGAAAATCCCATCCCGGGATCTGCTCGCGGGATTCCCGAGGACTGGAGCCGCCGCCGAGCCACGAGTTCCTCTCAATCCCCAAATTCTTTGGGATTTGCCATCCCGAAGCTGCCGGGGATCTCCTTTCCCAGTTTTCTGAGTGTGGGATGTGGATCTCTTGTGGATTTAATGGTGGCGTTGTCCTTTGGGATCAGCCTTTGGAAAAGCCATGGGAATGATCCGTCCCAATCAGCGGCTGCCTCATTCCAGGCTGGGAATCTGGGAATATTCTGGAATGGAAGGGGCCCCCGAGGATGGAACGGTGCCACTCTGGGAATGAGGTGACAAAGGACACGGGGAGGGTTCAGCACTGGCCACTCTTGGATCTGACACCTGGCCCGGAATTCCAGAGCAGAATTCCACAGCTCCAATTCCTCGGGGCTGGAGATCACAAACTCCTTTTTTATTCCCTGTTTTATCCTCTTCTTTATTCCCTTTATTTATTCCCTTCCTTGTTCCCTTTTTAAATTTCCTTTTTAATTTCCTATTTTATTCCTCCCCTCACCTTTTTTTCCTCAACACCTGACATTTAACTCCCCTTGGCAAACCATTCCCAGACCCTTTGGAAATTCCAGAAGCTTCCTTCCCCTTTTCCTCCTCTTTTTCCCCTCTTCTTTTCATCTTTTTTCCATCCACTTTTCCTTTCCCCCTTCTTTCCATATTTCCTCTTTTTTTCCTCTTTTCCTTTTTCTTTCCCCTTTCCCTTTCCCTCCCCCTTTTCCCCCCTGCATTCCCCCTGGATTTCCTCCATTTCCCCCATTTTTCCTCCTCCCCCCACCCCATTTTTCCCCGTTCCCATCCCGTTTTCCCCGTTCCCACTCACGTTTTCCCGGACACGGCTCCGCCGGGCTCCGGCCACTCCACGAGGCAGACGAGGCGTCCCGGGAGCTCGTGGGTGATGGAGAAATATCCCTGGGGAAAGGCCAGCAGGAGGGCCAGCAGCCAGATCAGCCCGATCAGAGCCTTGGTGGCCGCGGCCGAGAGGCGTGGCCGGAGCGGGTGGATGATGGCCATGTACCTGTGTGGGAAAAACGGGAAAATCCCGGGGTTCTGGGGCTGGGAACAGCGGGAATATGGCCAGAAAATCCCGGGGTTCTGGGGCTGGGAACAGCGGGAATATGGCTGGAAAATCCCGGGGTTCTGGGGCTGGGAACAGCGGGAATCAGGGATGGAAAATGCCAGTGTTCCCTTTGGGAAAAGGGGGAATCAGGGATGGAAAATCCCAGTGTTCCCTTTGGGAAAAGGAGGAATCAGGGATGGAAAATCCCAATGTTCCAGCTTTGGGAACAGCAGGAATTAGGGCCAGAAAATCCCAGCGTTCTCCAGCTTTGGGAAGAGTGGGAATGGGAGCTGGGAAATCCCGGTGTTCCCTTTGGGAAAACAAAGGATGGGGTGGGAATTTGGGAGCCGAGGGAGCTGCCAGGCCCTGAATTTTTTGGGATTTTCCTGAGGCACTTCCCGCAGTGCCAGCCCCAATCCCGAATTTCCTGCCATTGTCCCGAGTGTTCAGAACAACTTCCGGCTGTTTTTCTTTCATGCCCAGGGCTGGAGCAGCTCCAGGGGAAGGAGAGGATGGAGAAACTTCCAGCAAAAATCCCGCATGGATCCGTGATGGATCCCACAAAAAATCCCACGGGGGATTTCCGGGGAGCCCTGGGTTCCCCTGGATCCTGGGAAGTGCCCGAGGCCGGGCTGGAGGGGTTTGGGGCAGCCTGGGATAGGGAAGGTGGCACTGGGTGGGATTTGAGGTCCTTCCCCATCCCACCCATTCCAGGACTTTGGGAACATGAGGCTCGTTCTATGCTGCTTCCCTGATTTTTGGTGGGAATCAGGAATTCCAGCCCCATCCTGGCTCTGACTGGAACCCCAACACTGCCCTGCTGCTCCTAATCCTGGCTCTGCCCATCCCAATCCTGGCTCTGCCCATCCCAATCCTGGCTCTGCTCATTCCTAATCCTGGCTCTGCCCATCCCAATCCTGGCTCTGCCCATTCCCAATCCTGGCTCTGCCCATTCCCAATCCTGGCTCTGCCCATCCCAATCCTGGCTCTGCTCATTCCCAATCCTGGCTCTGCCCATCCCAATCCTGGCTCTGCTCATTCCCAATCCTGGCTCTGCCCATCCCAATCCTGGCTGTGCTCATTCCCAATCCCGGCTCTGCCCATCCCAATCCCAGTCCTGGCACTGGCTCTGCCCATTCCCAGTCCTTCCTCTGCCCATTCCCAGTCCTAGTTCCAGCTCTCCCCATTCCCAATCCCAGTTCTCCCCCATTCCCAATCCCAGGTCTCCCCATTCCCAATCCCATTCCCAGCTCTCCCCATTCCCAGCTCTTCCCATTTTCCCAGATCCTCCTGCTGCTGGCCTGGAGCAATTCCTCCCTCCCAGGCTCCTGGTACGAATTTCTGCTTTTCCTGCCTTTCAGCTCCCAGCCACAGGAAAAAGCAATCTTCCCAACGTTTGGAGGGGCTGAGGATGGGATTTGGGGTTTGTTCCCTTCCCCATTCCTGGCTGGAATTTGGGATGCAGTTGGAGCTGCAGCTTCCAGATGGGAGCCTGGATTTCTTTGGAAAACCAAGCCTCTCTTCAGGGTTTGCAGGTGCAGGAAGGTTTTTTGGGAATGCTAATCCTCAAAAAATTCCAGCCCCAGCCTCCCAGACATCCCTGTTTTACTGCAGCTTCCCTGGATTTGCTTTCCTGGATTTCTCAGGGTGGATCAAAGGCTGTAAATTAAATTATTCACCCCAAAAAATAATCTCTGGAATTCATCCCAGCCCAAAGGGGCTTTTCCAGCCAATCCCAAAGATCCTCCTGAGACAACACCATGGGAGAGCAACTGGAAATATCCCGGTTTTTATTGATGATTGCCTCAATTCCCGTGGATTTTAGGGAGAGGATTTGGTGACAAAACCAAACCTGGGGCTGTTTTTAACACCCGGGGAACCTCATCCACCCCCGCCCTGCTTCCCGCAGGGAATCCCGGAGCCAGCAGCTCCAGAGGCGCTGGAAAAGGGCAGGAACAGCGTCCTCCCCCCCGGATCCCTGCCAGAATTCCCTTTATTCCCTGGGAACAGGCACAGGGGGCAGAGCCTGGCTGGCTCCGGGAACGGGGCCTTGGAAAAATCCGAAAGGCTCGGAGGGAGCCACGGACCAGCTCTGGAACCGGGATTTGTCCCGGGGCTCCAGGGGGAAATGTCCCCAAATTCCTGGGAGAGGGAAGGGACCTCCTGGGGCTTTTGGGCTCCCCAGTCCCACTGGGATCTGGCAGAGCTTGGGATCATGGCCCCAGTGGGATCTGGGATCACAGCCCCAGTGGGATCTGGGATCCAGCTGATTTGGGGTCACAGCTCCAGTGCAATCTGGGATCACGGCCCCAGTGGGATCTGGGATCCAGCTGAGCTTGGGATCATGGCTCCAGTGGGCTCCGGGATCATGGCCCCAGTGGGATCTGGGATCACAGCCCCAGTGGGATCTGGGATCCAGCTGAGCTTGGGATCATGGCTCCAGTGGGATCTGGGATCCAGCTGAGCTTGGGATCATGGCTCCAGTGGGATCTGGGATCATGGCCCCAGTGGGATCTGGGATCCAGCTGAGCTTGGGATCACGGCCCCAGTGGGATCTGGGATCCAGCTGAGCTTGGGATCACGGCCCCAGTGGGATCTGGGATCCAGCTGAGTTGGGGTCACAGCTCCAGTGCAATCTGGGATCCAGCTGAGCTTGGGATCAGGGCTCCAGTGGGATCTGGCAGGAACTGGGCAGGGAAAACCCAACCCTGGTCACTGACCTGTCCCCGTTCTCCAGCCAGGACTGACCCCTCACTGACCTGTCCCCAGCTCCGGCCAGGGACGGATGACCCCTCACTGACCTGTCCCCAGCTCCGGCCAGGGACGGATGACCCCTCACTGACCTGTCCAGCGCGATGGCCGTCATGGAGTAGATGCTGGCGAAGACGGCGGCGATGGGGAAGAAGTTGTGGAAGCGGCAGTAGGCGGGCCCGAAGTACCACTCGTTGTGCACGGCGTAGCTGAAGTTGACCACGGTGTTGAGCGCGGCCATGGAGGCCTCGGCGAAGGCCAGGTTCACCAGGAAGTAGTTGGTGACGGTGCGCATCCGCTTGTGCGCCAGGATGATCCACATGACCACGGCGTTGCCCACCACGGCCACCACCACGATGAGCGCGTAGGCCACGGCCCACAGGGCCACCTGCCACGGCGGCTGCACGAACGGGTTGCTCCAGGACTCGTTCAGGGAGGCGTTGAGGGGCTCCAGCTCGGCCACCAGCGGCGGGGACTCATCCATGGCCACGGGAGATTGGGGTGAGGGACCTCCTGATCAGCAAAACTGGGGTGAAGCACCTTCTGGATCAGCGAACTTGGGGTGCAGGAACCTCTTGGATCAGCCAATTTGGGGTGAGGGACCTCCTGATCAGCAAAACGGGTGAGGGACCTCCTGATCAGCCAATTTGGGGTGCAGGAACCTCCTGATCAGCAAAACTGGGGTGAGGGACCTCCTGATCAGCAGAATTGGGGTGAGGGACCTCCTGATCAGCAAAACGGGTGAGGGACCTCCTGATCAGCCAATTTGGGGTGCAGGAACCTCCTGATCAGCAAAACTGGGGTGAAGCACCTTCTGGATCAGCGAACTTGGGGTGCAGGGACCTTCTGGATCAGTCAGTTTGATGGCACAGGAACTGAGATCAGCCAATTTGTGGTGCAGGGACCTGGATCAGCCAAATTGGGTGCAGATCTCTGCTGGTTTAGGGTGCAGTAGGATCAGTGCACAGCCAGTTTTGGGGTGCAGATCCCTGCTGATTTAGGGTGCAGTAGGATCAGCGCACAGCCAGTTTTGGGGTGCAGATCCCTGCTGATTTAGGGTGCAGTAGGATCAGCGCACAGCCAGTTTTGGGGTGCAGATCTCTGCTGGGTTAGGGTGCAGTAGGATCAGTGCACAGCCACTTTTGGGGTGCAGTGCCCTGCTGGCTCAGCCAGTTTTGGGGTGCGTGGCTGCTTCAGGGCATGAGCACCTCCCAGTTTGGGGTGCAGAACCCGTCTGGGTCAGGGTGCAGCAGGTTTGGGGTGCAGAGCCTGTCTGGGTCAGGGTGCAGCAGCAGCTTTGGGGTTCCGGTCCCTCCGGTGCCTGGGGGCAGCTGGAGCCGGGAGCGCGGCCATGGCACGGCTGGCCCGGGGCGCGGGTCCCGCCCGGCTCGGGCACGGCTGGCCCGGGGCGCGGGGCTGGCTCAGGGTCCGGGTCCCTCCGGGCTCGGCTGCGGCTTCCCCACGGTTCGGATTCCTACCGGTTCGGGGTGCGGGTCCTGCCCGGTTCGGCACCGGACTGCGATGCAGGTGCAGCCGAGCAGGTGCGGATCCCTCGCGGTTCGGGATTCAGTCGGTCACCGGGAAGCAGCCGGTTCAGGATGCAGATGCTCCTGTCGGTACCTGCTGCAGCCGGTTCGGGATGCAGGCTCCCGCTGGGTTCGGGATGCAGCCGGTTCCGGATGCGGATCCCTGCTCGGTTCCGGATGCGGATTCCCCGGCTGGGGCTGCGGATCCCCGCTCGGTGCCCGGTTCCGCCCGGCCCAGCGGCGGGCTCGGGGCGCAGCCGGTGCCGCGGACCCGACTGCGGCGGGCGAGGCAGGAGCGGGGCTTTTATGGGCGGCGCGGGCGGTGCCAGAGCGGGGTGGGCCGAGCCGGCCGGGGACAGCCCCCCCGGGCCCCCCTGCCCCCCCCCCCTTCCTCACCGTCCCCCGGTCCCCTGTGCCCTCCCCCGGTGCCCCCCGGTGCCGCTCCCGGGGGCTCCGCAGGCCCCGCCGCCGCCGCTGCCGTTCCGAGCTCCGCTGCCAGCGGCTCCTCCGCCTTTCCAGGCACCCCCACCCCAAATTTCCCTCCCACATCCCCTCTCCCACCTCTTTCCCCCCCAAATTTCCCCGAGCATGTTTGGGGCCCGACTCCAAAATCAGCGGGAATTGAAAGATCCCGGTAACGGCAAAGCTCTGGGGTTTTATCGATGATTTTATCGATTATTGATTGGTTTTATCTTTATTTATCCCTAACGTTTTCAGCCCCCCCCAAAAAAGGGCTGGAAAATCCCTCTCCATAAAAATCCCTGTCCATGAAATTCCCTCTCCCTGAAATTCCGTCTTCTCCCTAATTAATTTAATTAATCTGAGATCCCTTCCCGCAGCCCGGGTTCGTATCCAGGGATTTGAACCCCGCCGCTGCCAGATCGATCCCGGCCCTGCTGCTCCAGCCGGGAATTCTGCCAGGAATGCTGCCGGGAATTCTGCCAGGAGCGCCCCTCGCTTTTCCCTCGGGAATTCTGCTCCTCCCTCGGGATGCGCCGCCGCTTTTCCTCCCGGGAAAGCCGCTCCGCTGTGGCCGCGGGCGATCCCAAATCCCGGATTTTGGGGAGAGGAGCCGCTCCCAGGTAAACCCCGCAGGAATTCGGTCTGGGAGCTGCGCGTGGGGAGGGAGGAGCCGCTGGAATTCTTCTCTCGGAGCGCAGGTGATTCCTGAGGTGCTCCCGGGATTATCCCTGCTGGAAAATCCCTTCCCCCGCAGCGCGGAGCCTTTAAAGGGTTAACGCGGCCGCGCTCGGCCCCTGCGGGCGGAAATCGGCCCCAAGTTCAAATTCCCCGCAGGAATTGCAGCCGGGAAGGAGCCGGGAAGAGCCGGGAGTTGAAATTCCCCGCAGGAATTGCAGCCGGGAAGAGCCGGGCATGGCCCGGTCCTGCCGCGAGTCCCATTTTTATTACTACGGCATCAAATTCGCGCTCTCCGCCTACGCCACGCTCTTCTCGGTACGTTCTTTTCCAATTTTCCCCATTTTCCCTACGTTTTTCCCGTTTTTTTGCCAATCGGAATTGGCTTTCCCAGCCCCTTTCGCTTCTCTGTGTCCCAATTTCCCATTCCCAAACCCCAAATCCTTTAGGAAAACCCGCGGTGCCTCCAAACCCCCGGGGCCGGCTCCAAACTGGGCGATTTAGGGCGATTTTGGGCTCCAAACTGGGCGATTTTGGGCTCTGATCGTGCCGATTTTGGGCTCCAAACGTGCCGATTTTGGGGTGAACCCGCGGGTTTTGGATTTTTTTTTCCAAGCACATCCTCCTCCGTGATTCCTTTGTGTCCGCGAGTCCCGTTTGGACCAGGAAAAAACCGGGAAAATCCCATTTTTTTCACCCCCCAGGTGCCCCCTGCAGACATCGAGGGGGTTTCAGCCGCGTTTTTGTCGGAAAAATCCCAAATAAATGGATTTTTAGGCGGTTTTGGACTCTGCTCGGGGCGGGATTTCCCCACACCTGGGAGGTGCAAACACCTGCGGGAGAGGGGAGGGGAAAACCGGGAATTCCGCCCGTTTTGGGGTCTCTTTTTGGGGTTTATTTTGGGTAATTCTGACTTTATTTCAGAATATTTCCTCCCCGGGGTTAAATAATCCCGGGGTGGGGCTGTTTTATTCAGGTGTGAGCGTGAAATTCCTCTGCAGGTGCCCGGAAATGATTTTAATTTCGGTTTTTATTGATTCTTGACCTGTGAATGAGCTCGGCCAAGGCAAAAAATCACCAAAATTCGGGTTTTTTTAGGATTATCTCCCAGATTTTCCAGGCTCTGTCAGGTGGGAAAACTCCAAGGGGTCAGACCTCTGTGATATTCCCATAAACCCCAAAAATTCCAGATTTCTGGCTCAGGGTGGGATTTTGGTTGGGATTTGTGCAATATTCCAAAGAAGTCCGGGATAAATCCTAAGATTTGGGTTCCCAGAGGTTTTTGGGGTGTTGAAGGAATTGTGGGATTTTCCTCCCAGTTCCACTGTGGGAATCGTGGATGAACCCTGGGACAATTCCCGGATTTTTGGGGGAATTTTGGGAGAGCTCCATGGAGAATCCACCGGTGAGAAGCTCGGATTGGTCCAAAAAATGGGAAAACAACCCCCAAAAAAACCTGTTTGGATGTTCCCAGGCGGGAATTCTGCTCCAGGGAATCCAGAGCCTTTCAGCTTGACCTAATTCCAGCCTCATTTGCATAATCGCAGCCCAATTAATTCCAAAAACCCTCCGAGGCTCATTAACCCCATGGGCCGGGATGTTTTTCCCAATAAAATCAGGATTTTGTAGGAATTCCCTTTGGGAATTTGGCTCCTTGGAATAAAATCCCACAGGATGAGGGTTGGGTTGGTCTCCACTGAGGTTTGGGGTTGATGATTCCTGGTTTTCCAGCTCAGGGTTGTCCCAACGTGTGCGTGAAAAAAAGAAAACCCCAAAAAGAAAACCCCAAAACTCCCTGGGATGAGCCAGAGTGCGGCTTTAAACTGGGAATTGGGGTTTGCTTTAATCTGGAGGAGCAAAGATTTGGGATTTTCCTCTCCCTCAAAAAACTCTCCTTCCCTTTCTTTGGAAAATCCAAAAATATAAGAAACATGGAAAAAAAATTCTTTTCCCACAAAATGGAGAGCGGGTGTTTCCACTGACCCTGCTAACCCTGAGAATCCTGAAATTCCTGAAAATCCTGAAAACCCTGAAAATATTGAAAACCCCAAAAATCCTGAGAACTCTGAAAGCCCCAAAAATCCTAAATTCCATGGATTCGGAGTCACCTCCACGTCTGAGGGATCCTGGAGAGGGAATTCCATGGATACCTCCACCATGCCTGGAGGGTCTTAAGGAGGGAATTCCATGGATCCATGGTTTGAGGATCCCAGGGAGGGAATTCCATGGATCCAGGGTCATCTCCATGGTCTGAGGATCCCAGGGAGGGAATTCCATGGATTTGGAGTTGCCTCCACGGTTTGGGGATCCCTTGGAGGGAATTCCATGGATTCAGAGTCCAAACCAGGTCTGGGAGGTCTTGGAGGAACTCCATGAATCCAGGGTCATCTCCAGTGTTTGGGCGAGCCCGGGGAGGGAATTCCATGGATCTGAAAAACCCCAAAATACCCCCGTAAATCCCACAAATCCCGGAGTAAATCCCAAATATCCCTCTGCAGCTGCTGGGGCTGCTGCTGCTGGCCGTGGGGATCTACGCCGAGGCGGAGCGGCAGCGGCACCGGACGCTGGAGGGGATTTTCCTGGCGCCGGCCGTGCTGCTGCTCCTGCTGGGATCCGGCGTCTTCCTGGTGTCCTTCGTGGGCATGGTGGGCAGCCTCCGCGACAACCGCGCCCTGCTGCGCACGGTGAGGAGGGGCACGGGTCCGGGAGGGCATTCCAGGGATTTGGGCTCGTCTCCGTGGAGTTCCATGGATCTGGGGTCATCTCCATGGAGAATCATGTCCAGGGATCCAAAGTCATCTCCATGGAGTTCCATGGATCCGGCGTCTTCTTCGTGGATCCACGGTCATCTCCATGGAGTATCATGTCCAGGGATCCAAAGTCATCTCCATGGAGTTCCATGGATCCGGCGTCTTCTTCATGGATCCACGGTCATCTCCATGGAGTTCCATGGATCTGCGGTCATCTCCATGGAGCTCCATGGATCCGGCGTCTTCTTCATGGATCCACAGTCATCTCCATGGAGTTCCATGGATCCGGCGTCTTCTTCATGGATCCAGGGTCATCTCCATGGAGTTCCATGGGTCTGGGGTCATCTCCATGGAGTATCATGTCCAGGGATCCACGGTCATCTCCATGGAGTTCCATGGATCCGGCGTCTTCTTCATGGATCCAGGGTCATCTCCATGGAGTTCCATGGGTCTGGGGTCATCTGCGTGGAATTCCATGGATCCAGGGTAATTTCCATAGCTTGGGAATTCCATGGATCCAGGGTCACCTCCATGGAGTTCCGTGGATCTAGGGTAATTTCCATGGCTTGGGAATTCCATGCATCTGGGGTCATCTCCATGGTTTGGGAATTCCATGAGTCCAGGGTCATCTCCATGGAATTCCATGGGTCCCGAGTCACCTCCGTGGTTTGGGAGGTCTTAAGGAGGAATTCCATAGATTCTGAGTTATCTCCCTGGAGGGAATTCCATGGATGCAGGATCACCTCCATGGTTTGGGAGTTCCATGGAGCCGGAGTCATCTCCATGGTTTGGGGATCCGTGGAGGAAATTCCATGGTATTTTCCCTCCCGAGGTCCATCCCGGGATGTGAATTCCCAAGGAAAATCGAATTCCCAGGAGCAGCACCTCCCGCTCCGCGCCCAGCCGGGTTTTGTGGGAATGGGGCCGTGAAAAGCCGGGAATCGCCGGGGACAGGAAGGAGCAATCAGAGCCCTTGTGGGATCGGGAATTGTCCCTTCCAGGAGAATTCCCAGAACAAAAGCAATCAGGGAGAGAGGCCCTGGAGGAGCTCTTGGAGCTGAGCTGGGCCTGGCAGCTGCAGCTTTTGGGTTTTTTATGGAAAAACGGGGAATTTGTGTTTTAAAGGATCCAGATTTGTGTTTTAAAGGCTCCGGGGTTGTGTTTTAAAGG